CTGACTGCTAGAGATGGTGAGCATTTTTTCATGTACTTGTTGATTGATTGTATGTCCTCCTCTGAGAAGTGTCTGTTCAGGTTCTTGGCCCATTTGTTGATTGGGTTATTTGTTATCTTATTGTCTAATTTTTTGAGTTCTTTGTATACTCTGGATATTAGGGCTCTATCTGAAGTGTGAGGAGTAAAGATTTGTTCCCAGGATGTAGGCTCCCTATTTACCTCTCTTATTGTTTCTTTTGCTGAGAAAAAACTTTTTAGTTTGAGTAAGTCCCATTTGTTGATTCTAGTTATTAACTTTTGTGCTATGGGTGTCCTATTGAGGAATTTGGAGCCCGACCCCACAGTATGTAGATCGTAGCCAACTTTTTCTTCTATCAGACGCCGTGTCTCTGATTTGATATCAAGCTCCTTGATCCATTTTGAATTAACTTTTGTGCATGGCGAGAGAAAGGGATTCAGTTTCATTTTGTTGCATATGAATTTCCAGTTTTTCCAGCACCATTTGTTGAAGATGCTATCCTTCCTCCATTGCATGCTTTTAGCCCCTTTATCAAATATAAGATAGTTATAGTTTTGTGGATTGGTTTCTGTGTCCTCTATTCTGTACCATTGGTCCATCCGCCTGTTTTGGTACCAGTACCATGCTGTTTTTGTTACTATTGCTCTGTAGTATAGTTTGAAGTCTGGTATCACTATACTGCCTGATTCACACTTCCTGCTTAGCATTGTTTTAGCTATTCTGGGTCTTTTATTTTTCCATATGAATTTCATGATTGCTTTCTCTATTTCTACAAGAAATGCCGTTGGGATTCTGATTGGGATTGCATTAAACCTATAGAGAACTTTTGGTAATATCGCCATTTTGATGATGTTAGTTCTCCCGCTTTTCATCTTGAGTAGAAATTAGTCACTAGGATTTTCACTGATACCCTTTCTCCATTTGAGGAAATTTCCTTCTCTTCCTGGTTCATTGAGAGCTTTTGTAATGGTCGGATATTAGACTTTGCCAAATGTTCTTTCTTCGTGTATGGAGATTATCATGTAGATTTTGTCCTCAGTTTGGTTGATAAAGTGTATGGACTGATTTGTGTTCCTGGCTTAAGCCCTAGTTGATCCCTGCATGAGCTCCCTGTGTGTGCTGTGCCTGGGTTCGCAGGGCTTGTTGAGGACTCGGCTTCAGTGCTGCAGGAGGAAGGCCCAGCTCTGCAGTTTCCATTTCTTGCGATGCCCTGTCTGGCTGTGGTATCATGTTAATTCTGGCTTCCAACAGTGAGCTGGGAAGTTTCCTCCTCTTTTTCACCAAGAGATGGTGGGAGATTGATATTGCTCACCAAACTTCTTTACATATTTGATAGAATTCGCTAGTGAAACCAGCTGGACATAGATTTCCCTGGGGGGGGAGATTTTAAGCTATTAATTCACTCTGTGTACTTCTTAAAGTCTCTACTTCCTTTCATTGATATCAGTAATTTCAGTCTTTCTAGGAATTTATCCATTTTAGCCAAGTTACCTGATGATTGCCAGTTGTTTGTAGTACCTCCAGTAACATTTTTAATTTCTATAAAGCCAGTAGTGGTGTCTACTTGTAGTCCTGAGTTTAGTAATTTGTGGTTTCTCTCTCCTTGGCTAAATAAAGGTTTGTTGATCTTTCTAAAGATTTGACTTCTGGTGTCAGTTGTATTCTCAGTCTATTTTTCTGGATTCCATATCTGTTTCTTGTACTGATATTTATGTTTCCCTTCCTTCTGCATGCTTTGGGTTTAGTTTACTGTAGCTTTAGAGCAAGTTTTCAAAATGGGAAGTGTGAGTCCTTAAACTTTGTTTAAGAGTTTTGGCCAGAGTTTGCCAGCCTTTGAACTAGAGCATTAAAGAAAATTAGAAAACAGTATTTCTTTCCTAGCCTAGTGGAGCTTACATA